CATCACCTTCACAGACGAAGTATATCAGAAAATAGTCGCTCTGATCTTCAGGTCACGTTACAGGGAGACAGACGCGCCTGTCCTCTGAATTTCAGGACTTTGTTCCACGTAAGTGATTCTACTCCTGAGTGAATCCGATGGTTCACGGCCTTTTGACTCTAACTGAGCCTTGTGGATTTCTGTCGGCCAGATCGTGTGCCGAGCCACCATCATCACAACCCTGTCGTCAGGCAACAAAATGACATATAAACCGTTATTAATTATCCCAAGACTGCAGTAAATAAAGAACAAACCTACTTTACCTTGGAAGAAGAGCCAACACTGCACTTATTGCGCAGACAGCCCAGAATTCCATAGTTGCCATGGTTACAAACGGTACGAAGTACATATCCCAAAGGAAACGTTCTAAGCCGCCGAGTACAAAGTACCACAAGAACGAGAGAACAATACTGCCCCATAAAATCACATGGTGGAGGATTGTCTGCAGCGCAATAACAACCAATGTTAACAAATTTAACAGTATTGCAGAAGGTTTCGAATTTGATAAACTTGCCTTTTATACAGTTTAGAGCATGTCAGCAATTCAGCCCCTGTCATATCGCTCAAAAACATTACTATATGAATTTCTTTTTCTAGCTCTGTCGTGTAACTTGAGAGGGAAAACTCCAGAAAAATATATCAAACACGAAAGACCGTGTTTGACCACATTTCCAAACACCGAGAACTGAGAGAGTTGAAAATACGACGCGTCGCGGAGTATTTTTGATGAACTTTTTGACGAACTTTAATTTCGCAAGAGCATTAGTTGCGTACATAACTGCGACGATCTCTACCTGATCTCTACTGTCTTTCAATCTTTATCCCGCAGTTCAAACATATGACTGACATTTGAAACATTCTCTTGCATGAGTAATATTCTTGCTTACCCACTGTGCTGTTATAAGTGCCAAGTACAAATTAGCAACAATCACTGAACTCTGATGTAGCGTCACTCCAACCATTCTCAAGCCGGCTGTGCTTCCATTGTACACCTGGAACGAAATACGAGACGAACAAATAACTGATGACATTCATTCAACTATAAGTTTTTACAATACATACTTTCGGGAGATAAGCTTCAAAAGAAATTCATACCCGCTACATCGGCAGATAACCAAAGGTTAAACTTGACGTTAACCGGGAAAAAACAGGATAATGTGTGTTTTTGCACCTTGAACAACTATTGTAATGAGTTTCTTCGGTTCATAAGTAGTTTTGCAATACTGAAAAAAACAAAACTGACAGTTTTTTGCATGCCGAAAATAAAGACATAACGGGCTGGTTCGAACATAATTTAACTAGCCTTTTCACAATACTTACCAGGTAAGCAGCAAAAAATATCACTACACTTTCATACAAAGCATCTAAAATGGTGAGCCAAAAGAGCTTTCTTGTGTATAGCTATGAATAAAAAGATAGCATATCAAAACTTACAGATCTTCAATTCTATTAACTTGTGAGTGATTAGCGTGAATTTCAGACGTGTCCTTGAGTCGCACTCTGCCAAAAAGACGCCGTGTGGAACTTCACGGCTTGAAATTTCGGTTAGTGATACTAAGTAAAAAAAAAAAACAGCTCCTAAAACTGATTGATAAACTTCAGAATCTACTTATCTCTGAGTGACGTTGAAAAGACATTGTTGGCATAAAATTGCCGTCTGACCGATGGGAAACATTGCCTTGCTCGAGGAGTGGAACACCAAGTTCGTGCTCCTATCGTGACTCTTAAGGGTGCCATAACTTTCAGCGTTTCCATATTTTCATTAGTTCGTACAACCAACCCAATATTTTACAGACAAGTCATAGGAGAACTATGAACTAATTTCCTCGAACTCATTAATTCTTCATCAAGTTAAAACAAAGAAAATCACAACCGTGAAGGAGCTTTGGATACCCGGTCTTAATTAGCATAGATTTTGAAGGTTTTACTTCTTCGTTTACTCCTTAGTTTTTGTTTCGATTGAGAAGATAGATCAAACACTCGAGACTGTGTTTCATCGACTATCCAAACACCTCGTATTTCGTCGAAATTATTCCGCTCCGCGTCGTATTTTCAACTCTCTTCTCGGTATTTGGATATCCCGATGAAACATTGTCTCTCGTGTTTGATATATTACGTAACATGAATGCAACATATTGACGATGCTTTTGTGCTGTACCTCGCTGTTTTGTCCTGATTTGTAAAGAGCCGGCTTTCTGCTCAGTATATGATCAGGAACATCTTTATCCAGTATTCCACAAATGACGGGTGGGACCGCGGTAAAAGCAAGATTAAAGAGAATCAGCGACATATCATCAATGGCATTTGAACCAGAGAAACCATTGTACAGTTGAAACCAGAACAGAACTAATACAAACATCTGAAAGGTAAAGAAGAGAAAAACAAGTAAGTGAGGCTGTATTACCATCTGAAGATGTTAGGAGGTGCGGTGGCTTCATGGTTAGTGTGCTCGTCTCCGGATCGAGCGGTCCGGGTTCGAGCCCTGGCCTGGGACACTGTGTTGTGTTCTTGGGCAAGACACTTTACTCTCACAGTGCCTCTCTCCACCCAAGTGTTTAAATGGGTACCGGTGAACTTAATGCTGGGGGTAACCCTGCAATGGACTAGCAACCCATCCAGAGGGGAGTAGAAATACTCCTAGTCGCTTCATGCTACAGAAACCGGGATAAGCTTCGGCCTGATGGGCCACATGGCCCATATGCAGACTTTACCTTTTACCTTTATTAAGGGAAGTTAAAGAGTTCAGCTGAAACGAGCTTGGAAATAAAATTGAGATTTTCAATAGCAAAATATTCGACTTTGTAAAACCAGTTTGTGAGCAACAGAGTCGCATAAAATATCCTGATCTTGCGTTACACTTCTTTCAAAAAAGCTTCAATAAAGCGGAAAACAAATTTGGTTGAACACCTTTTTTTCGCTTTTCCATACCGAGCAATATTAAAAGCCGTCAAACTGTGCGGGTAACTGCTAACGCAATTTTCAGGAACTTACAGCATTCTTGAAGAAGAAATACAGGAACATCTTGCAGATGCGATCATAACACCAATGTCCATGGACCAATAGGAGACGAGAGAGGAATTTAAACCGCCCAATGGCGAAGTCGCTGGCCATGACAGCCTGCATGCCTTCCTGTCCCGAGATACCAATGCCTACATCGGCCATTTGGATCATGCTTACGTCATTAGCGCCGTCACCAATGGCTAACGTCATCGTTTTCAGCCCATTTCTGACAAGTTGAACGACTCCAGACTAAGGAAATTCGTTTAAATGGGGTTAGTTACGTGAAGCAAGAATTCTTTGCCACTATGATAACAAAATTCAACTCCTGCAGTAAATAGGGATCGCCGATATCTTTAGAGGTCGTTTTTCAGACTGACAAGTAGCTTTTCAGTAAATATGGCAGGAGAGGTCAGGAATAAAGAACTACCTCGCTATGGCTCGGAAACACTGAATATTTTGCAGAGTCCACCACTTGTTAAAGATTCCATTAACTACAATTATTTCCCCTTGGTTAATCCATTTTACAACACTCTTTCCTTGCGTCACTAAATTCTCACAAGATTACAGATTCAAACCCGCATGACTCGATTCTCGACAAGACTACAAGAGAAAATTACTCGAACCAGACACAACGCAACTAACCTTCTGTAGTGGCGTAGCTCTGCAACAAAGAACAGCTTGACAACGTTTCGCTAAATCCAAGAACTTGCGATTCAACGGTTCTTCTAACGCGTACATGAGTGTCCGTCCGTCAATCACTAGTCCGATTGATTGACCGTCAGTGGGTGGTGGATTTATGTGTCCTGACACTGTGTTGGAGGAACTGCCGCTGGCGATGCTAACTACTTCAGACTGGAAGTGTAACAGCCAAGATGTGATCTGGGCTTCGCATTCATTCTGCCGTGACAAAAGAGGATGTAAGGTGAGAGAGTGAATCACATAGGCCTTACTCACAAGGCAATCTCTCTAATGTTACGTCCAAGAACCACCACCCGTCTGGCCGATTGTCCCATAAAATCTCCCTCCAGTGTGCATTACGACTGCGTTCTCCTTTTTGTCGAACGCAGTTTCTACTGGTTTTGGAAATCCCACGAGTGTCTAGAAATAGCCAACCAGTGACGCGAATTCTGCTCATGTGGACAGGCCAAGCCGCTTTAATGGCATTTTCACCCTCTACGAAAATATCCACGCAACACACGAGGGAATATTTACGCTGGAGAACTGGAACTGGGTATCATGTCTAAAAATAGCTTGAGAGGGGGTACCCTGGGAATAAGGCATATATGCTACCCTTCATCCTCTCTTGGCCGCAAAAAAAGAACATCGTGACATTTCATTCTGTTTTGAGTGGTGTCGATGGATAGACCACGTTACAAACAACAATCTGTATACACTGGAATCCTGTTTTTTTTCGAACCTCCAAGGGAAAATAAAATTGGTTTGAAAAGTCGGCGGTAAAATTACACTGTTGGATTAAGAGGAAGGAAACGAAATTTGGTTCGAGTTATCGAGAGGTTAAAAAAATCAAGGATTCGAGAAATCGCCGGCATTCCATTATATATCTACATTTAGTGTGTTTACCTTGGATTTTGCGTTCAGAATAACCATCTGCATAGTTTTGTCCAGCAATCTGGAAGCATATGCAATATTAATTGCTGTTTCCTACAAAAAAAAAATATATGTAGTAAGTGAACTGAAGTAAAGATTAATTTGAAAGGCACTTATGATCGTTGCCAAAAGGAAAACTAAAAAGTGATTATTCGCCATTCTGCAACCTATACTTATCTTCAGATCGAAGGGGGAATATTGAATTCAATGGTCTACAAACTCAAACAAACAAGCAAACTTCTATTTGATATTGATAGCGTGATTTTTTTTTTATGTGAACCACAAAGCCATACATCAATCAGAGATATCTCAGTGAGAGATATTTCTCCCAAATTATCGATGGAAATATATTTGTAGAAAAACCTTTAAATCCAGTTTTGACTTCTTAAGATGTGGCACTAAGTAATGTCACCAAAATGTTTTGTTATTGGTAGACATTACAGTAACTATATTTCCTTTGTTCAATCACCTGCTTGTCTCCTGTGAGGACCCATACTTTAAGGCCTCCCTCGCGTAATCTAGCAATTGTCTCAGGGACTCCATCTTGCAAGCGGTCCTCGATGCCAGTGGCACCCAGGAGTTCCATATTACACTCCAGTTTATGGGCCGATGCGTGAAGGAGCCTTTCTCGGTCGTGAAGCGCTGTTTCAGCTTGCCTGTGTTGTTCTAACCATTCTTGGTAATCACCAATTGATAAATCCTAAAGCAGTCGGAAATTAAGTTAGTGCTTAGTTCCAGGTATAACGTACAAGTTTATCAAATCTTTCACTCCCAAAACGTAGAATGTCGTTCTACCTGTTATCAATGTGGATAAAACCATAAGGTGTGACGAATGAAAGCTATTGAGCAGTTCTTTCATGTGGTACTGTTTGTTATGCTGTGCATGGTGGTTCTAACTTTTCATCCTGTGGATGAAACCCGAATGTGTAACCATTCAAATAAAAGCTACTGAGCAATACTTTCATGTGGTACTGTTTATTATGCTCTACATGGTGGTTCTAACTTTTCATCCTGTGGATGAAACCCGAATATGTAACCATTCAAATAAAAGCTACTGAGCAGTACTTTCATGTGGTACTGTTTGTTATGCTGTGCATGGTGGTTCTAACTTTTCATCCTGTGGATGAAACCCGAATGTGTAACCATTCAAATAAAAGCTACTGAGCAGTACTTTCATGTGGTACTGTTTACTATGCTGTACATCGTGGTTCTTACTTTGAGTCTGTAGATTAAACCTTGGTGTGTGACCATTCAAATTAAAGCTATTGAGCAGTACTACAAACTGTTACCGTTGGGTTCTTCAACATCATGAATAATTAAATTTGCGATTTCTTCAACTTGCCTCCCTTTGAAGTGAAACTGTTTTGACCGTCACTTACCCTTCTCGCCATACACAGAGTTCTGAGTCCATCTCTGGCATAGAGATCCAAATGAGAAGCAGTTTCCTCCACTAAAGAGCCCCTGCTTTCACGCCTAGCAGCCCACGTTCCTTCACCAGCATCAATCTCATCTGCCATGAACTGTTGATTGGATCGCTCCAGCTTTGGAAGCACAGCAGAATCAGCTCCCTTACAGTACAGTACAATACTACTATCATCCTCCCGGCGCACGACAATTGACATACGCTTACGTGAAGAGTCAAATGGCAGCACGTGAAGTAATTCATACGTCACTTCACCCTCGCCTGGTATATACAACGTCACTTTCTCGGGACTGCGCGAGAGAAGTTTATAACCGTACAACTGAGCAGCTTTCACGAGAGCTGCCTCATCGGGCGACTCAGCTTCGTAAATAAGCTCCTCGTTCGCCGTATTAAAGGCATCTGCTGGTTCTATTAAAGACGACGGACTCTTGGGCCTTTTTGACAAATTCTCAAGAGAGGGTTTTACAGGGCTTGCTGACACACCCAAGTTTAAGTGTCCTGTGCTTGAATCACTTGTCGGTGTACGTACGGACCCGTAATCAGGGCTAAGGTGATTGTTCAGAGTTCCATACTCGCCTAAATCTAACGGGGCGTGGTTACTGTCCGGGCTATTGGGTAAATCAGTTTCATCTAACCTTGAATTTCTACTGTTTTGTGTGTCTGGAGGCTTTCTCGTTACAACCACAGTATTGCATATAGCTAGTAGTATAAAGAACTCTCTCAGATAAGAGCTCTGCGGTCCGCAGGGATAACCTGCTTTGCCGGTCGCCTCTATTGCTTGTGCAAGCTCTTTATCCCAGTAAATTTCATCACCCTATAAGGAAAGAACGAAGCGGGGTTAATAATTTTTACCGCTTATCTTATGATCACCTTAGCAAATAGATACCATTTTGCCGTGCGTCTGTTCAGTAATTGATCACAGGTCAAAATGTTGTAAAAACAAAAAAGTGGTACACAAGGCGATAGCCGCGTGTGTCACTGACGTTTCTTACCGCATTCTGACATCTTCTGTGAACTATTACTGAACAGACGCACAGCAACATGGAATCTGTTTGTTTTAAACAACAAAGAAACCAAAAAAGATGTCAATGATGTCATCTATAAGACCCAATCAAAATGCGAGAATAATTTGACCTCATAAAATGTGTTGGCTACCACAGAACTTTGGGCTTTGTTTATAATAAGCAGTGTAGGACCTGAAGCATGATCCCATCAACCACTATTAATAATAGAAAAATAATCTGAATTTGGTCACGACTGACACCTGCTCTATGCTTTAAATTGGTTTAGTAACTACTATTTGCTGTTGAAGAGATAAGCTATTTCCCAAACTACGTCTTGCCTCTTTTTCAAAACGAGGCCTGCTGCAAAAACTTTTATGATTTATTGACTTGTATGAAATTTTAAATTAATCTTTGTATGAGCAAGACTTTGTACCAGGTTTCATTTCCAAACAGAGGCAAAATACAAGTATTTTAAGCCAAAAGGCTATTTCCATGTGGTCTATTCTTGGTGACAACTTCAGCTTTTATACACAAACTATTTTCATTAATAGCAAGGAAACAGGAGGGAGGGCACAATACTGTAGATCAGTTGCTTTAGCTGAAAGGTTAGAGCTTACAGGTTTGATTCTTATGCCTCTGATCCCCGGCCCTACTCTTTTGGCTATACAAGTATAAGCTTGTGTGTGTTATCAACTTAAGGTTCAGAGTCAACAAATACAAGGAAACAGCTCACTTTTATACTTTACTCACTTTTGACCCATCAGATATTTGATGGTATATTTGATCAGCAGCTGGTAATGATGGTCTGGCATCAACAGCATCTAATCCTTCATAAAACAAAATTTATATAACACCAATTGGAGAGGTGGAGGTAAGGTAAGTAAAGTCTGTATACGAGCCAACTGGCCCATCAAACCGGCACGTGCCTCTAGTTTCTGTGGTAAGAAGCAACTAGGAGTATTTCTACTCCCCCTGGATTGGTTGCTAGTCAATCGCAGGGTCACCCCCAGCGTTAAATTCGCCGGTACCCATTTACACACCTGAGTGAAGTGAGGCATTGTGAGAGTAAAGTGTCTTGCCCAAGAAAATAACACAATGTCCCCAGGCAGGGCTCCAACCGGGACAGCTTGATACAGAGTCAAGTGCACTAACCATGTGGCCACTGTCCCTCCACACAATTGAAGGGCACAATTTACAGTTCCGTGTTTTTACCAAAATGACCAAAGTAAATTCAGCAATCCTCCGCTGGCCAACTAATGTACAGTGTCTCACTTATTTTAATTAATGAATCTTTTGTAATAGTGTGCGATAGTGAAATATGTCTGTAAATAGTGTCAATTAAAAAAAATCTAAAAAAAAAAATCTATATTGTATTTGTGTGAATCCATCATTCTAACATTTGAATGCAACCAAAATCATGTCATTCAGTATGATGGTTTGTACTGCACTTAGTGACTAACACTCGAGCACTCTTTAGTGAAAATTAGACTCTTTCGCCACTAATTCTCACTAATGAAACTTAACTGTGACAAATTGTCATTTGTCATTGATTCAGATGAAAGGGCTGGGTGCCCTGGGGTGATGCCCCCTTAATTTTTCAGCTAAGCTGACATAACATGCACATACATACCAAGTTTGTCCTTGTGAGAAAAGTTCCTTCCACCAATTGTACACCTCTTGAACACCATTTTGTTTTCAGTCAGAGTCCCTGTCTTGTCTGAGAACACATATTTGATTTGCCCTAAATCCTCATTGATGTTGAGTGCACGGCACAGCACGGGCTGATCCATGTCAGCATAATACAGCTCCAGATCATTGGAGATAAAATACACTTGGAATAACTTGACAACTTCCATAGACACATAGAGAGAGATTGGTATAAGGACCTAAAGAAAAAGAAAAATATTATCACAAATTCTCAAATTTAATAATAATTTGTCTAGTTAAAATAGAGAAATCACAACCGTCAAGAAGGTTTGGATACCAGAGCTTAATTACATGTAGCATAAATTTTGACAATTTTACTTCTCTGTTTACTCCTTAGTTTTTGTTTCAATTGAGAGGATATGTCAAACACTCAAGAGAGTGTTTCATCAGCTATCCAAACACCTTGAATTTCTTCAAAAATACTCTGCTGCATGTCATATTTTCTATTCTCTTCTTGGTGTTTGGATATCCTGATGAAACACTGTCTCTCGTGCTTGATATATTACATAACAGACAAAAAAGCGAGCCCTGGAAAAAATACTCCATATTCAATCCAAACTTCTCATTCCACTGCTCAGTTTCTGCTGGAGGGTCAAACTGCAAGACAGTATGAAACCATGGCAACCACATCACCCTGGTAAAGCACATTTTATATGTATCTGAAACAAATGTTGGGAAGGCAAGGCAGGCATTTGGGATGTTGAGGCCAATATGGCGGTCTACAGCGCTGACAACTAAGACCAAGTTGAGAGTCTTTAGATCAAATGTGAAGGCTGTGTTTCTGTATGGTTCTGAAACTTGATGGCTGACCAGAGGATTGAAGCAGAAGCTGCAACTGTTCATCAATAAGAGCCTGAGGAACATCCTGCGGATTTGATGGCCTAGACGAATACGCAATGAGGAGATCTGAAGCCAAGCAGAGCAGCGACCGGTAGAGCAGGAGATATGACAAAGGGCTTGGGGTTGGATTGGCCACATGCTGAGAGACCAGACGGATGCATAGCCAAGAGGGCAATAGAGTGGAACCCACAGGGGAAGTGCAAGAGAGGCAGACCCCAGCACACCTGGAGGCACACAAGAATGGCAGAGCTGGAGGGGAGACAGCTCACATGGCAGGAAGTGAAGCGCACTGCTTAAAATAGGGTTAGGTGGTGGGGACTAGTGGACGACCTATGTTCCATCAGGAACGAAGAGGATTGAGGTTTTTTTTGAGAGAGAGAGAGAAACAAATGTTTCCTTGGGGCTCATGGCTGGAAACATTTTCAATATTAATGAATAAATTTATATAATTTGTCCATATACATCAACCTCCCAAGGATATTTACAGGATAGGGTCAAATTTCATGACTGGTCTAAACTGAGTGACATCTTAACAGGTATATCACAATTACACTTAACAACTGCTCTTTTATAAGCATTCAGAATGCAGATATAATCAGTACGTACAATATTAACAATGGAAAGATCAACATAACTGGTTGTGACAAAATAATTGGCCATAATTACAAGGTGACTGTAAAACAGGGTTCCACTGTACATCTGTACTGAATTTTAGAAACAAACCTGTAAAATAATGATAAATGTCCAGAATCGAATGAAGCCCTCCATCAGTGGTTCTCTTACAAATGGCTGATCAGAACTCTTAGAACCAGGCGTGAAGTGTCTGTTGAAGAAATCATTTCTGTCTGTCCAAAACCCACATCCTGGAACAAAACATGGGACTGTCAAACACAACTTCACACTCCTAAACCATCAATAAAAATCTTTTTCAAAAAAATCAAAAATAATTTTTCCAGAAATCTTGCAAATGGTATTTAAAATAGAAACTTTACAAACCATAACCAAATAACATTGGTTTATGGTAAGGAAAAAAGTTGAAAAAATTGCACATATTTGCAGAGTAAACAATTTCACTTTCGACAGTTTGTTTTAAAGGACTCAGACAAACATGACATGTAGTTAAACCTTTAGACCACAGCCAATTTTGGCTACTGACAGTGTGTCTGATGAGTTATTACTGTCATTTATTGAGTATTAATCAACAGAATAAAACACAGTCCTTTAATTTGCAAACTTCTAATACTTAAGGTAGCTTTAATGATTTTGAACTTCTAACAATAAAATTAATATAATTTATGATTTAGTTCCTGTTTAAATTTTAACTGAAGCACAAACAAAATTCAAAAAAGTCTTACAACCAATGAAACATTTTCTTAGGGCTAAATATCATTATGCTTAGGTCTGTTTAATTACATTAAACAGTGTATTATCAATAACTGGAAGGAAGTATTTACCTACTCCTCCAAGAAAACAGAGAATGAAGAGGATAATAACACAAGCAACGACATCCACATTGAGATCCCTCTCAACCTTACTGCGCTTGTATCTTGGACCACTGTTATTCATCAGGGCTTTGCTGTCATGACCTAAAAATAACAAGCACACATGTTACATGTGGGAGACATGGTGACCGTGGCCTAATAGTTTGTGCACTGGACCCTAGATTGAGCAGTCCAGGTTCACACCCTGGCACAGGGCATTGAGTTGTGTTCTTGAGCTAGATATGGTACTTTTACAGTGCCTCTCTTCACCCAGGTGTGTATACGGGATACCCGTGAAATTATTGTTGGGGCAACCTGACAAAAGGCTGGGGAGTAATCCTGCGATGAACTAGCATTCCATTCAGAGGGAATTGACAATACTCCTAGCCACTTCGTGCTACTGACACCAGTGTTAAGCACTGAGAGCTACATGTTTGATTCAACTGGGTTTAAGAGGGTTTTCTTTTAAATTAATATGTGTAGAAAAGGAAATGCACATAGTCCATAGCCCACCCTGTCAGTAAAGGGACATTTCATAATCTTTGTTAAATGTAAAAATTTTGTGATTATTTTATGATACATTCAGACATGCACACATTCACTAACATTTATTACATCAAAGTAAAATCACCAGTAAAAGCTACGGAAAGATACAAACAACTGCATACTGTTTACATATTACACTTTACTGTAATTTCAAATCTGGTAGTATTATTTTTTCCAGGATTCCACCATTTTTTCACACATGACTCGTATTATTTTAATTGTAACTAATGCAATTTGTTTTAATTGCAAATATAATGTAATTTAACAGAGAAAAGCCACCTTGTGGATCTGTTAAATAAACCATTATCATCATCATTATTATTATTATCATTATCATTATCATTATTATTATTATTATTACTACTTTTATTATCATCATCATTACATGATAAGTTTACACCATAGGAATCCAATACTAACAGTTTACATCAGACAATAAGAAGATTTTTTCACGCCTTACTAAACTGTAACTTATTGAAACTTTATAAAATCTCCAGGCTGAAAATATTACGTTACTACACACCTGCATAAACAACCATTCCTTCCACCCAATCAGTGTTGCGAATAATACAACCGCGTAAGAGCAAATTGTTCTTGCCAACAGGAATTTCCTTACCGTCATCAGTTATTCTGATTTTAGGAAAGAAAAACCAATTTAGTCTGCAAAATCAGATGGAATAGCTTTCTAGTAACATAAATTTGGGAAAAAACAACTAACAACACTGCAGCTAAGCAGCATTAATTTTGTATATGAATGTATAAAAGTGGCTTGCCATTAACTTTAAAATAGGTAATTTAATCAAAGGGCTTTAAACGTCACTGGTGAGAGCAACAAACACAGCTGGTGGAATCTCAAAACTTCTGAGGATTGACATAGCCTCAAAACATATGAATATTGGTCAGGAATTTTCATTTTCAATCTAGCATTCTATTTTAGGTAAATCTATGTTTTGTGACGTACATACAACTCATGACTTAAGACTCACTTATAAGTGAACAAAATCAAAAGAGTAACTTAAAACATTTAATATTCAAATTTGAAAATAACCTGTTTTGCTAAAAATGGTTTGAACAGTTGGCCAACCAATTTGATTGTAAAAACAATAGTATAATAACTAATTATTTATTTTTTCTTATTTTTCTGAGTATTTAAGAAAGACAAAATAGATAACTAAGCTGACAGGGAAAATAAGTCACTGACAGAGATTTTTCTAGCCACAGAGTAGTTCCATTTGATGCAGACTGTATTCAGTCCCAGTTGCTAATTTTTAAATTACTTAATCTAAAACAACTTGCGGTCAATATTTACCGACAGCTGCTCTTCACTATGATTGACAATACACTTACAAAGTCCCATGAAATCTGTGAATATGGTTATTTGGCACTTCACACTTCAACTTATAAGGGAACTGCTCAGGGGAAAACCTGGAATTTTCCTAAAAATAAAAATTATGAAATATACTTTTATGTAATTGTATAGAAATCTTATCACTTGCTGTATTAACATGCAATTTTTCTCAGTCAGATGTAATTATGTATAGCGTACTCGGGGCAATAATAACCTCCTCCTTCTGACTGAACCTGAGGGCCATACTGGGGAATATTGGCCCTAGGCCAGGTAAGTACAAAAGTGACCGAGGGCCAATATTCCCCAGTATGGCTCCAGCAAGCTAAGGTAGTGAGTAATTTATTATATGGAACTCGAATTTGAACTTGCCAGCTTCCAAAAACAAAAAATACACGGCTTATGACCATTTCCATGGAAATAGTTGGTATAACGAAATCCCACCATGGAAGAACCAATCAGAATAATCAGATTTACCTCAATACATTACAAATTTATCATTCTATATATGACAAAAAAATTTTCAAATGTAAAAGCAAATTGTTTCTGAAAGATTTTAGGACTACAAAGAAGGAGAATGAAGAGAAAGCCATGTTACAGTAAATACACTGGAAGCATGGAAATTGTGTTATAAGACACCATGTTATTGGACACTTCGATGTTGGACTCCAATTTGATGAAAAATAAGGCATGCAAAAAACCAATCAAATGAGACAAAAAACTTTTTTTAAAGTTCTGATTAATTGTGATACTTTTCGCTGTTCAGGAGAATATTGAAGATATCTAATCCTTACTTATACTGGCTTGTTAATTACCATGTTTAGCCCTTTCACAACTTCTCTTTGCTTCAGATTTGTCTCTCCATCAAGATTGGCTGTCTCAATGTGGCACACAGAATTCGTGTCACTTGTGTTTAACAACAGGATATCTGCTGGGATGCTCTCATCACTTTTAAGCTTGACAAAGTCACCAACCACTACTTTTTTCCAAGCTATTGGCTGGTATTCTTCAGCTTCACTTTAAAAGATTTCATAGGTTAAGATATTACACCAGCACACAATGAATTCTGTCATTTCATACATTAAAGAGGGAAACATGGATGCATGAAAGAGAAACAGAAGTCAAGTAATTTCTACTGGATTTATTAAGGATTAACAATCTGATATAAGCAAATACCATAAAAACTCGCATATAAGAACCTAGTGATTTAAGAACCTACAGGCTGAAATCTGGCATTTAAATACCCAAAAATATAAGAACCTGTTCGGCCTGGCAAAGAAAAATAGGTTCTTATACAAAAAAATCACTCCAGTTTTCATGACCACAGTCTAAATTCTGGATTTTAATTGTGTGAGAAACTTCTGACAAAAAGTTAATGCGTATTTTTCTTTGATTTACATTTTTTGGATTTTCACTAGAAATACCGTAAAATTCTAAAAATAAGCCCCTCCGTATAGAAGCCCCCCAAATCTGAAATACAAAAATACCTCCTATAATAAGCCCCTCCGAATATAAGCCCCGGAACTTGTATTTGAAAATTATCCTCAATTATACAAACCAAAGCAAACCACACATAATCACCATTATCAGGAAGCCTTTTTTGGTCATAAAAGAATGATTCTGTGCACTAAAGCAGTGTGGTCAACAAGGGTTGAAGTTACCGTTTTTACGGTATTTCCATTCTAATAAAGTTTATTACCATTGTGTTTGAACTTGGCATTTTCAGGGTGATTAATTTGTTATGAATTTCTAACCAAAACCCTAATATTACCAGTTGCACATTCAAAAATTTTGACACAAATTTCCCTCCAATTATAAGCCCAGCCAATTTTGAAACGCAAATTTCCCTCCTATAATAGGCCCCTCTGAATACAAGCCCCTTCCAAAAATAAGCCAGTCAAAAAGGTCCTTTGAAAAATATAAGCCCCGGGGCTTATTTTCGTTATTTTACCGTATGTTTTCCATAAAGCTATGTACAGTGCAAGATAGACAACTTAAAATCTAAATATCTTATAGAATAAGATATATAGAAATGTACTAGCAAGCAGTTTTCAGTGTTGTTGAAAATACGAGTTCTAAACCATTATGTATAACTAATAAAAATATTTCTGCAAATGGTTATCCTACGACAACCTCTGAAAAATAAGATAAAAACCTCTTAAGAACCCAATCAGCCTGAACTGTGAAAAACTACCCTAAAACAGCAGAACCTGATCAGCCTGACCTTGAAAATTCTAGGTTCTTATATGTGGGTTTTTACCGTATTTAAAATTTACAGATCAAATTTGAGACATTAAGTGTATATCAAACACTAAAAGACTGTGTTTGACCACATTTCCAAACACCAAGAAGAGAGTTAAAAATAAGATGCATAGTAGAGCATTCTTGGTGAACTTCTAGGTATTTAGAAATGTGGTCAAACATGGTGTCGAGTGTTTGATATATCTTCTCAATCAAAGCTTCGACTAAGAAGAAGACAGACAAATAAATTGTAAAAATTTATGCAATGAAATCCAAACTCTGTCGTGGTCATGATTCCCTTTGTTTATAACTTGATGCATTATTAATGATTTGGGAATGTATTTTCAAATATAATATTATCTGATTATCTGTAAATTGGTTTTGGCCTTTCACTTGAAGTTTATAGACAAATTTCTTCTCAGGACATGTAGTAGTACATCTACAATAATTGTTCTTTGTGAGACTTAACTTCACAGGATATCACAAAAGGCTCTTACAGTAACGTTTTTTAATTATCAACTACAAGTGTCAAAATTTTACCACCAGTGAGATATTTAATAACTCATCAAAACAATTTATGTCAACATGTGTGTCACTGTACCCACACAGAGCTTGCAGTCAATTAATTGTGCTGAAACTTAAGCGCTCTTAAGCTTAAGTTTCATTATTTAATGCGTGTAAGAAATGGAAATTCGTGCAAGAAACAGAAATTCGTGAAACAAATGAATTTATAACTATTAGCGCTAGCTGCAGCAATTAGCATGAAAGCTCAGGCCATTAACTTTGCTATCGATCACAAAGTTACGGCGACCTTTTGAATCATTAAACATTTATTAAAATACAGCTCTCAAGTGTGGGCTCTGGTTACTTTACAATCTAAATTGTATCCGTCTGTAAATGTGTAAAAAGAAAACGTCTTGAAGTTCAAATTCCACAGAGGCGTCAGTGTATAATCGAGTTGACGTAAGGTGCTAGCTTCGACATTGAAATGTCTTTTAATTTAGCAACATCCCTGAAGTTTGACACGAAATATTGCTTAACATTAATAAAGTTGTTGAGCTAACATAAAGCCAGGGATCTGACATGCCAGGATTTCCACGTCGACAAATAAACATATGCAAATGATCCAAGAAAATACAGTCCATTTAAATTAAAAATAAGCTTACACGAAATCACAAAAAAAATCTTACCTGTTAAAAACATGACAAATGCTGTTATTCACTGCCTTGTCGGACTTGTATCGTCTTCGATCTTCGAACAAGTCTTTGATTGCGGTCACGGAAAGAACGAAAATCAAAGGTACCATGGCGATGTACTTCCCGAATGCGTTAATTTCTGGGATCAAATTTAAAATAACAATTCCGAGAAAATAAATGTTCGCAAAGCGATGGAACTGTTCGAATAAGTTTTTTGGAAGGAAGGACCATAGTGAATATTTTGTGGTCTTGATGGCATTGCTACGGTTGTGTTTTGAGTGAGCACTGCTGAGTAGTTCCTTGGTTTGAGCATGTTTTGGAACAACTAGCCGGTAGCGATCGTCTTCTTTCCTGCCTTTCTCTCTCTCTGACTGCATGACGGAGGCTAAAACACAACCGCATCAGTAAACCTGTAAGGTATTAAATCTTACCGAATAATTTCCCACAACATGAGGCCACAAAAGCAAATTTGAATGAAATGTCCTTTATCAGTGCGGAAAGCGGAAAATTTGGAGTAAGTGAAGTAGCAACTTCCCGCGAGCCCGCAGTCACAGCCGTAAACTACTGTCAGCAGCAATCGGAAATTGTCGGTAAATTCCGGTCTTGTTCGGGAATACGAAAATGCCAATCCCATGGCCCTTAGCGCGTTTACAAGCCTCTTTGGCAGACGCCATATTGGACATTGCTGAGATCGTTTCGACTGTCTTTGGTGCTTTCCCTTCGTTTGGTTCACTATGGGCAGGAAATTTGGTTCGTTAACAAAGGGCAAGAACATTGTTACGTACTCTCTGTCTCCATTTGAGCAACGCGCTTTTGCTGGAGTGACGAAGAGCATTGCAAACATGGCCAGACGAGTGAGAACGCAGTTACCTTATCAGCTACCGGCTTTCATCTCTGGAATATTGCTCTACACCTGGGCTATGGAAGACTTTCGCCAACGGAACAGAAAGAACCCAAAGGACTATGCAAATGACGAGTGAATTTTTCAGCTTATTGCGATGTGAATTTCTACAGAACATTTCCTACGTGACGCCGTGGGAACTTCAAAATGATGTTATATAATGATGCTTGCAATTGGTCTGCTACAGTTTTACTTTCTCGTTCCACAAGACGATTTAAACTTAAAATTGAAAGTATTTTTGACTTGGTGCTGCATTTGGATTTCTGTGATGAATTTCTCTGCGATGTGCTTTGTTTCTGTGGCTTAACTGCCAAATTAAAGCTAATTAACAATATTCCTGTAAACGTTTGTGAATACCTAATACAGTAATGTCATGTGGCTGACTTGTATTTTGGATGCTGACCATCATAAATTGTGTTTGTCATTTGGGAAATTAAAGTCTTTTGAATAATTGTATTATCATTTGATTTGTACTGCAGTTTTTGCAATAAATTATATCATTGGTGACAAATAAATTACTCCTTAATTTTGGCATGACAGTTTAGTGTTTTAAGGCAGAAATTTATAATTTCACATGTGAAATTATAAAAATTGCCATGGTAACATTTGACACGGAATTTCCCCCCATGGTACAATAAAGTCAAAGACCCATGATTGTAAGCGAAATTTGTCATCTATGATATTAAAAGGTAATCAAATGGTATGCTTGTGAAATTAGGAAATGATTTCATTTGCATTTTGTCAAATTTCAGATAATTTCCCTCGCCTTAAGGCTCAGGGAAATTATAAGAATTTTGAGAACATGTGTGAAATTATTCCTAATTTCACAAGCATACCATTTGATTACCCAGACTTATTTGTGGTATTTGGTCACCTTGCTCTGTAGCGAATCTCTCCCAGGAAGTTCATTCACTAAGACAAGTTGATTGTCCCACATGAGAAGTGACTTCACACCCAAAAGAAGTGTGCTAGACTCCAACTTTAGCATTACAACACAAGAGAGTGAAAACACACAGGTAAAGGCAACAAGACTGTAATTCATCTGGACTGACATGTTCCATGTAAAGTCTGATAAATTACTCTATGCTCATTTGAGTTAGAGTGCAGTTAGTTTTTCCCACAAGTTGTGTTGGCAACACAGGCATTCAGCTCATAAAAGGCAGTAGTTGGACTTACTGTTCTTAGAATTGTTTTTCAAGGAACTTTCAAAACCACCTGACACCATCTAATGGAATCCCCTATTTGAGAGAAAGAATGGCCTGGGTTTTCTGATTAACTTAGCAGAGTATAGGTACACATAAATAGATGGAATGCTTGTTACCAAATAACTATGAATTTCTTCATGTTATGCAGTATGCAGCAACATGCCTTCTCAAGTAGTAATTTCTGCCCAATTTGTTCTGAGTAAATAACTGAGTCGAGCCACAAAAAATAGTTGAACATTTATTGTTTTTCTTCAGGTAGGATGCCACAATATTTATTCAGAACATAGTCTCCATAGTGTATTGGGAACGGTAATGATGGCCTTACAACTGTTTTTTCTACAGGAAGTAGAGTCTTGTCAAGAGGAATCGGTGAAACAACACAATCAAATCCTGGTTCATAAAACATTGCAACAGACAGTCTGTGTTTGGTTGGAGAGACCTTCACCCTGTGAGGTTTTGCTTTAAAAGCACCACTTGTCCAGATTTCCAGCATGTCTCCTATATTGACAACAAAGGACCCTGGAACTGGTGGGACATCAATCCATGAGCCATCTTCAGTCTCTACTTGAAGGCCACCCACATCATCTTGGAGAAGAATTGTTAGCATGCCATAATCAGTGTGTCTCCCCACTCCCCACACTTCTTGACCTTTTTTTGAAGCAGGGTTGGGAGGGTAGTGAAACATGGCTAGTTGAGCAAAAGGATCATCTGTGAATTCCTTGTTAAAGAAATCCTTTTCAAGGCCTGAAAAGAAAAACGACATCAACACTGTTTTATGAAAAAGCAAGGCAAGTCAGTGATATATTGTTCTTGAAACAACAAAATAAAATTCATATCTTCAAGCTAAAGAATGTTTCTGTTTGGTAGTGGACGAATAAAAACTTTGGCATATGATAAAAATCTTGACTCACATACACAGTCTTTCAAAGCTAGATACCTGGCAATTTCAAATTCATAGATGATCAATTTCCACAAAAATTATCATTGAAGCTCCCAAGAGTATGTGATCTTTGGTCAGAAACACCAAGCAATTTTAAACAATGTTTTGGCTAAATTGTAATTCACAAATTGTCAGAGCTTTCTTCTTGGCATTTTAGAAAATAATTTCATGGTTAGACTCAGATACCTGACAGTCAGAAATTTCTGTTTTTCCACAAAAAAATTTCATTCAAACCCACTGAGAATACTTGATCTCTTTGTAGAAATACTCTTGAATAACGACCTTCACCATGATCCTTGACCCTTGACCCTTGACGTTTTAACAAATTCCTCACTTTGCCTTGGCATTGTAGCACATAGCAAAGTGTTCAGAGATGGAAGTTGGCCCCAGGGAATTATGATCACACCCCTGTTAAAAGACTTGTCAAACAGTAACTTTTACGAAATATATTCAACGTGGAAGATTGTGTTTGACCACATATCCAAACACCAAGAAGAGAGTTGAAAATAAGTTACACATAGTGGAGCATTTTTGATAGACTTCAAGGTGTTTGGCAATGTGGTAAAACAAGGTCTTGGGTTTTTGATATATCTTCTCAATCGAAACTAAAACTAAGTAGAAAACAGAGAAGGAAAAGTGTAAGAATAACTGCTAATTAAGATCAGATATTGAAACACCAACATGGTCTTGATTTCCTTTGTTTAAACTTGATGAATAATTATTGACTTTGAGAAACTGAGAGGAAAGATTGTCACAAGTACTAGGTAACGATGAAGCTAAAGTACAGGTCACAGGTCACAAAAAAAAAGAGTCATTGTGAATTTGTGGTGAGTTTGTTATTTAAACATGGTCATTTTTGAAAACAAAGAAATGCCAGGCCTACACGGACTCTGCTCATGAATTGTGATTGCGATACGTCAGTTAGCCTTCAACAAGATTTTTGCTCTAGATAACAAGACAGTGTATCTTTTAGACATTTACCTCTCTTCTTCAATTAATTAGAGGCTCTGTATATATATGCATATCAGCAACAACTGGTTTTGTTCTGCAACCCAATTATTCATCAAAAATGAACTACTGGGTGATATGTCACAGTGTGACAAATAGCAAAGCTTTCTTTGGAGTTGCTTTTTCTTTGTTGGAGAGCCAACATTCTGTAGATGTAAAACAGACTCTTGTTAGTGACCTCTCAGTGAAGTTTTTAGGATATCCAGGGGCTTTGAGGTACAGTTCAAAATTGAAGAGACACTCTTCAAATGTAGTTTCTCAAGAGTTTGTTCTATGGAGTTCATCTTTAATGAAACCTTGTCTTTAACTCCTGGTGAATGGCATGAGGTGAAATGCATGTATTGGAAGGTTTCCATCAGCTTGTAGTGGGTCCTGATGTCAAGGATAGAGTCAGTTTTAATTGTGTCCCCATTGTATAACTATTGCATGCCTCAACAACCTTAACTGGAAAGCGTAAGTTTTTCTCATGACCAAAAGGCAAAAGTTAATCACCTGTGGGACCCGGACGCACCGGAGCGCAGCCCTGGTTTCAACCACAAACTCCCCCCAATTCACAATTATTCTTTTTTGTGACCTGTGACCTGTGACCTGTGGCCTGCCCCACTGGGATAAAACCTATCCCAAGAACTTCTCAGAACAAGGTTACAAGAAGATATGCTATTGTTCCTGGCCTTTGTTCTCATAACTTGTGGCAATAACAATCAAGTGAAATCGATGCAAATCGATACTCATAGTTGCAACTCTCTGGATCATCGATTTTCATCAATAATTTTCTGATATTAATTAATTAATCGTTAGCTATTATATTGATTGCAGTTGATTATATTGATTATCCGTTTTCATCGATTAAGCACGCTGGGAGTTTCAGATGGCCGGGTATACAATTTGACCTAATTAAACCTTGTTCACTGTTACTTACCGTAAATCCTCAAATTAGCGCTCCTCGAATAAGCGCCCCCTTTGAATAAGCGTCTCTCCTATCAGCCAAAATTTAAAATAACTGCCCCCCCTCTAATAAGCGCCCCCTCCCCTCTCCCTATTTTGTGGACGAGTAGTGAGAAAGCAAAGGATGTATAGTATTCGTCGTGTACAGGTATTAGATTTGTACATTGTTACGTGAATTTCTAATGGTGCCGCGATTTAAAATCTAACATCAGCTTTATATGTCAACAGAAGCATATCACCTAGTCTAGGTGATATGCTTCTGATGTCGATAAACAGCTTATGTTGTTGTTTTATACCGTGCACGATTTAGGAAGATTGTCATTACCACATAAAGTTTGTGATCACATCACATATCATAATTCTATAGAGACCTAATTCGCAACACTGTGCGTAGATCTTTCCATGTATGCGCTTGCCCTTATCTAACCTTGTAACTGCACCAAAGGACTGGGGTCGAGAATGATATTGGAACGTACAGCCCCCAGGAAGGTATTCACAAAGTGTCAAGATTGTTTTACAGGAAATCACAACTCATCACAGGACATCACAGGGCATCACAAGGCATCACAAGGCATCACAAGGCATAACAAGGCATCACAAGGCATCACAAGGCATCACAAGGCATCACAAAGATTTTGACAAGAAAATTTTAGAGAAAAGTGCGCTTAGTCAAGCGTTTGAACAGACGTCCGATGACAAGATGATAGAGATGAGATGATATGTGAATCACGTGACCTACTTGTGTGATGTGTGATGCGTCACAAAATAGTTTGCTCAGTGCACGCGTCCTAAATCGGGCATCAGATGTATGTGTCGTTTACGTGCACATGATGTATTAAAAAAATGATCATGTCAGGCCACGATTTGGGAAAAATTAGCGCCCCCTCACCTCGATTCCCCACCTCTAATTCGAGGATTTACGGTATTTTCTAATGTCTTTAATTAAGGCTTACCTAAAAAAAGCGCAACACAGCTCAACAGGTCCGACGCTAATTCCTGTGTTTTTCTGAAGTATTCTGTCATAACTGTTTTGAAATCAGGAACATATTCGTTTTTAGGCCACGGGTTGTTCCCACAGAAAACTCTTTCTTTTCTTCCTTCAGGGACGTTATTGAAGTCACGGAAGTAATATATTCCTTCCTTCCACTCGGTGCAGCCATACTCAATACTGCGTTCTTCTCCTTTAGTAAAATATCCACGAAAATTCTTCCGTCGGTGAATTTCTTCCTTTTTCTCTGCTGGTAATTGGAAAAATTGCCAGAGCTTTTCTAGAACTTGCCGTCGCAGTTCTTCCCCGATTCCGTGGTCGACGACATGGAAGAAGCCAAACTCTAGACAAGCTTTTCCAATCGCTGTTATCTCTTCTAAGCTTAGATTTCTTTTTCCAAGATTAGTCAAATGGATCACTGGAATTTCCATCATGTCTCCTCAGATCAAAAGAAAGTGAGATTGTCTGTAAACTGTCTCTCCCCATGCCCCCGCTGTTTTCAGCTACTTTCACAAGGAAGGTGTCAAAGAAGGTCATCACAGAGCGAACAGAACGATGGAGAGTGAGAGAGTGAACGCTACAGCTAACCCAATGGCCAAAGCTACATTCATCAGCAAGTTTTTGACATATTGGTACGTGTGTTGCAACATTTTGTTAAGAAAAGTTAAGCTTATTTCTTCGAACGCACGTCTTTTAGTGACTTAGTTGGTGCAGATTATGCACGCGGCGGGATGGGACATTAAAGCCTGGTTCTCATATCCCGCCGACCTACCTGCGACGTAGTCGCTGGTTACAACTGATAACGTTCGGCTATCTGTTCCAGTGGATCCCCGGCGCATCTGCGATGGATCGCCGACGTACTCAAATTGGCGCGAAATGCTTCATCCGCCATTTTGAAAGTCAGGACTTGTGGGAAAAATCGAGTTGTTACGTCATACTCTTGCATCCGCAGATCTCCGCAGATGATGCTCACATAAAATACTTCCATCGTCGACAACCGCCGGCCTGCGAAGTTGAACTCAGCTCAACTTCGCAGGCAGGCCGGCGGGCAGTCAATGCCTGGGAAAGATTATGATTCGGCGATAAATGTTCACATATGCCGTAACGGTGTCCCAGACCATTCCGCCGGCTATGTCCCAGGTATGTCGGCAGCATATGAGAACCAGGCTTACTCGGGTAATAAGTGAGCATGAGAGCTCTTAAAAATGTTGACAAACATGATCTTGATTCAATCTTAACAGAAGGGCTTGCGCCTTAGTTTTCAAAAGCGATTGGGCAATAGTTGAGGTCTGACGTAACTTTAAGCTTATGCAACTTCATATAAGCTGCTTGTTGACATACCATAAACAAGGCTTGTATTTAAAAGATTCAACACTAAAATTGCCCTAGTATTAATCCTAACCCAACCCTGGTCCTATAGGAAACTAAAAATACGGGGGAAATACTGGTATTCAAGTAACGTGGTGATGTTCTTCCAAAGAAGAGTAAAGCATCATGGGTATTGNGGAGTTGAGGGCACTAACCATGAGGCCACCGCACCTCCCATGCCAAATAAATAACTGCTATAACAAAATGGCATTTAATGAGGAGTTAAACTAAGAACTACTGAAGACAGCTAGATCTGCACAGTTGAAGGACAGATTCAAGAGTTGTTGTGTCTTTAGCAGGTCCTCAGGCTGGAGATATTGTCAAATAATAATTATGCAACTTCTTGAAACTATTACATAAATTAATTTCAGCTCTTTGTTTCTCAGGTGGATGAATGGCATTTTTAGGAAAGGATTCAAGCGTCCTCTTGAAAATGGTGATGTTTATAAAACTTTGCCACAGGATGAGACCAAAGGACTGGCTGATAGACTGGAAAGGTGTGTTCAATAGCTGCTTGTTTGCTTGTATGACAATGTGTTAATTTTAATTGTTAAGTTTTTTAATGCACTTGTTCTTCCTTTTCATTGGTTGAGAGCGCATTACATGATGAAAAAAAAACCTGCCTGTAGATAATAGTTAGTACTCATACCCATCACAACATTTGCAGTGATTTAGCTACAAATACTATTCTCGTCTTGTATAATTATTGTGTCTGCTTCTTTGAAATACTGTGATTTATCAGACTTACAGCTCAAAATTTTTCAATTAACTCTGTACAGTTCCAAAATTGATTAAAAAAATCAGAGGGAAATAAAGATTAAGAAATGGAAAGAATTTGGGATAAGATTGTCATAACATCCAAATTTGGACTAAAACAGGACTCTTAAGCTTAAAAAAACAGTAAAGTTCAATAATACATGTATGCTCTTTGAAAAGGTTGTCATAGAAATATCAACTCACATGACCAAACAATTGACACCACAATTTCTGTTGATAATTTTTATGAAAATCACAGACTGAGTTAAATGACTTTAACTTGACTGCTGGTTAGGTAAGACAAGATAAAAATCACCATGGGCACTTGAAGCCTACCCCCCCCNAAGGTTTATAGTTGATGTTTATTTTATTTTTGAATGTTTGCATTGAACCAGTTATTCTTACTTAATGCATCATCATTTAACAGGTTGTGGAATGACGAATTAAACGATGCCCAGAGGAAAAGCAGAAGACCACGGCTTAGAAATGCTTTTATTAAGTTCTTAGGTTTACGCTTTCTTATGCTTGGAGCTTTAAATTTTATGGAGGTAATGACCTGTTGAAATATTCTGTGAATTGCAAGTAAATTACACACTACACTAAAAAGAATTTAGCAGGTTTGTTTAGTGTCCCTCACTATTATTCACGCTTTGACAATTTGTAATAAACCTTGGATTGAGCCCCTTTTATAGGGAGAAAAATATTGGTGTGCAAAATCCTGGGGGCGAGAAGCACGCACTTCTTCACCCCTACACAGTTTTCTTTCTTTTGTGTCATGCACAACGGACTAAGCAAGGGAGGGACTACTTGTAGTCTTTGGAACCAGTGAATCATTGGGCTCTTCTGATCAGAACAATAATTAGAATAGACCTTCATACCTCTCACAGCAGCAGCTAGGGACAGAATAGCATGGTCAGCCAGTATCAAGTTCGTGTGCACCTACTGGTGTAAAAAGAGATAGTTATGATGATCTGCCTCTTGTTAATTCTTATTTAAATCATTTTATTCATTTTGTACATGTACAGGAATCAATGAAAGTCAGTGCCCCTTTACTTATTGGCAGACTTTTAAGGTACTTCCAGCCTGAGCCTGCTTTAAGTCGAACTGACGCCTATATTGCTGCAGCACTTCTCTCCCTTGTCGCCTTCACTGAAGGAATCCTCCATGCTCCAACTTTTTTCCTGAACCAAAGGTGCGGTTTACATTTGCGGATAGCTGTGGGGTCACTCGTGTATAGAAAGGTCAGTGCCTCAACATCAGCAGCTTAATTACAGGCTTAAAGAAACTCCAGATACACTCACATGGTCACAATAGAGTAGTGCAAGCAGATTAATCTGTTAATTTGTTTTTTTCACTTGGCATTCACTTTAGCATTCATTTGGTCATTACTCTTTTGATATTGGGCTGCACATTCTTTAGTTCTCTACCTGGCATTGCAGCTAGCATCTGTGCCCAGCATAGCAGACCCAAATTCTCATTTTTTTAATGTCTCTTTAAACTCATCACAAATACATGTAGATGAGCTTGGGAACTGGTGCCTAAAGGGTTAGTGGGAAGCCAAATGCCAAATGCTGAAGGGAGGTATCCATGGCAACCCTGGAAGTGGGAACCACCCCAAGAAGTGGCCACTAACTGGCACCATCACACTGAAAGATATCAGCGTAAATAACTTACCTGACCAAATACTTACTGTCATAGGAACAAAGTGCAAGTTATGCCGTAGATTATATTGGAAGGTGTGCAATCAAAAGGATCATTTAGTTATTTGATTTACTGTTTCAGACCTGAAATGCTCCAGACATTGTTGTGAACAAAAGGACAAGTTGCAAACCTTGTAAACTTGAGCATTTTAAAGTACCTAGTTGTTCATCAGATAGTTTTGAGAAAACTTTTGACTAAAAGGTTGCCAAGATTCTTGTCCTGTTGAAAGGAGATAAGTTGGGGCTAAGTGAAACTTCCGCTTGTTCCAGGGTTATTAGTATCGTTTAAGAGTGAAAAAGAATTGGAGCCATGCCTTCCGAGATGGACCCTGGTAGGGGTGTGTTTCAAACTTTCTGATGTGCACTATTGTCAGTTTTAGGAGTGACAAAATTATTAATAGCTAGATCTAAAACTCACCAAGATGCCAGAATTCTTGTTCAATAATCCAAGACTTTGACAATCATTATTGACTCAGAGTCAAAAAGATACACACAAAAATGAGACTTAATTTGTGACCCACTCTAAATGATTGGGAGATTTGAAGATTGAATTAAAAAGGTTCTCAGACTTAGGACTGTCCTGGTACTGTTCGCCATCTTCACTTTTAGATGGAAAATTCCCATCTCCCCTGACAGACCATATCATTATATGCCATATTTGTATTTTTGGTATTTGACTGGAACTAGCTTGCAATGCAGGGGAATATCATTAAATCGAGATTATTGTCATTTGCATTTGAAAAGACTCCGTGTTAAACTCGTCAACAATAGATGAGGTTGGGGGTTGGTGCCTGGAAGGATGGTGGGACTGAGAGCATAGGAGTCAAGCACCAGGGTATCCCTGGCAACCCTGTGAGCGGCAACCACCATCTGGCACCATCAAACTGCATGAAAATACAGTGGAAATGAATTGATAAACACCATGAGGGGAGGGGAAGGGAGGGGCAGAACAGCAAGAAAGCTAGCAAAGGCGAGAACACAAGTGATTGCACAATGTGTCACAGAAACCAGAACTGTGCAAAGGTCAAGCCCTGTCACTTACTGGGTGCCCCACGGCAAAGGTGAGCCGCCAACAGAGTACTTTTCCACCGATTTCAAACAATATGCGAGTGAACAATGTTCAACCGGATAAAGATTGAGCTATCTATCGCCACTGGATGGGGACATGGGGATTTGCGGTGGCATCAACAAAACCTGGATCGGACCGGACTGGATCACGGATCGGATCACAGACCAGATTACCGATCGGATCACGGATCGGATCATGGATCGGATCACAGATCGGATCACGGACCGGATCACGGATCAGATCAAGGAAAAAAATTCAAAATTTTGTTGAGAAAATTGCACTACAGTGACTACTGTGAGCAGAAAGTTTTATTTAATTCAGGTGTGATATTCCTTTATTCTTTTATAATATCAANTAATGTATTATTGACTGCGCAGCTTTTTCCTACAGAAAAAGGAAAAGGCGGCGAAAACTACCGGCCACAAAATATATTCAGATGTTGTGTCGGCAGGGAAGAAAGAAGGCTTTCTAAGCTAAGGAAGCTTTGTAACTTACACATGTTTACTATTTTTTTCCTTTTGCTATTCAGCTTCGTCTAGAGGTCATTCTGATACCAGTCTATACCCGCTCCAAGGTCCTGGACTTTCTTGACCTTCTATTTTTTCAAACGATTGTCAATATCAAACGCAAACACAGCTAGCTCCGGAAAGCAATACTTTCAATCCAGATAGGGCTTCAGTCAGTGGGTTTATACACCAAGAAAAGTGAGCGAAGTAGAAGAAGAGAGGGATCTGGGGTAAAGGCCATCTCTCGAGGCTCCTCTCTTTTTTCTTCATCCACCTCCTAGCTTCGCGGAAGGTTTCTTCACAAGAACAAGAAAACGGATTTACAAGCGTCAGCAGTATCGACATATGCACAATGAAAAGCATTGTGATGTGCTTATTTTGTGGAAAATTGTTGAGGTATAAAAGTATTATTTTAAGTGTAGACTCAAATCATGGCGCTAAAAATATGTGTTGTGGTGATGGTGTTTCATTGACTTTTCTTGCGGTGATGCGGTGTTCGTTAATTTTGTTTGCGGTGTTGCAGTGTTCAGAACCTCCCCATGTCCCCCTCCGACTGGGACTAATCAACATATTCAATCAAACTACAGCCAATGAAATATAACTATTCCCATGGTTAACCTTCCAAAGCCACGCCGATTCAAAGTCATGTTCGTGAACATATAAATAAACTATAAACCATGAGGTAGTCTCTAGCCTTAGGAATTTGCTAGTTACAATGCTCAGACTTGCTCAGACCACTACAAAAACCACAGGTGCACGACAGTTTTTGTGAATATGACATATGATATATGACGTCATTCAAAATGGTGCAGAAAATGTAGACATTCAACGAAAAAGTCTCTAAAAGGTCAACCTTGAAACCACAGCCAGGACACCCAAGATTATGAATTGCGTTCTTCAAACGCAATAACTTGCAGGCCCATTTCACATTGGTGCCAAGAGAGTCTGTATATAAAATTGTTCATCCAACACTCGTTGGTGTACACGGTGGGGGGAAGGAGGGACCACATTATAAATACATTCAATTTTTTTTGTTGTTGTTGTCTTTTGATGTGCAGTGTAAATTATTCAAGGACTCATTTGTGTATTATTCTGTTCACCCTGGATCTTTTCCCCCTCAGGCACTGCGACTTAGTCATGCTTCCTTAGCAGAAACAACAACTGGTCAAATCGTGAACCTTGTGACCAATGATGTACAGAGACTGGAATCGGTAAACTCCTCTATAGCTAAACTAGGTCCAACTTGTGTGAATGATTTTCATGACTAATGAATTTAATTCTGAGTTTGTGTTAGAAATTTGTTTGCCAGTTCTTAGCAAAACTGTTGTTGTTCGTCCTTCGTAGTCCAAGATGACCAAAGACATCTAGTTTGTTAATAAATTTCTACGGTGTGTCCGGAGGTGGCTGNAGTAAAACTAATAATATTACGATTATACAGCTGATCATCCCAGTTATACACACAACTTGAGCAGTTGTGAAATTAAAGCCTGAAAAATATTCAGGCCTGAACAGGATTCAAACCCATGACCTCTGTGATACCGGTGCAGTGCTCTACCAACTGAGCTATCAAGCCAACTGGGAGCTGGTTACTTTGAAGGTTCATAATATACCCATAGATGGTGAAGAATACAAGTGAATATATGAAAGATCATATATTTGAACTGTGGAGAAAGACACAACTGATCATCGCAGTTATACACACAACTTAAGCAGTTGCAAAATTAAAGTCTGAAAAAAATTCAGGCTTGAACGGGATTCAAACCCATGATCAATCATGTTTTCGTGTCTTTCTCCACACATCGAGGACCTGGTAATAAACTAGAACTTATAAAATGGACAATCCTGTCTAAACCAGTCATGGCATTATTTTTGTTTCTAAGATCTCTCAAAAATGGAAATTATAAAATAATGCTAGTGCATGATGTTCAGCAAACTTGTTGTATTATCAAAAGCACGATTTTTAGTCTTACAGTCCAATGTATATATTGTTTAGGTGTAAAAGAAGAAGAAAGAAAAGAGAAAAGTACACCTATTGATGATATACTAGAACCTTGATATTGTTGTAATCTTTTTTATTATCTTCCAGGTTACAATTTTTTTTCATTACTTATGGGTGGCTCCTGTGATGATTGTTATCGTAACAATCCTCTGTTGGCAAGAAATCGGAGTGTATGTCCTGCCTGGTATTGTTATTTTCCTGCTTCTTGGCCCGCTTCAAGGATTGATTGGGAGGTTCTTTGCTAAACTGAGGTATTCTGACCAGCAATGTATTATAATTTATAACATTAAAAAAAAACAAAAAACAGTGATATACTTGTCAAGGAGTATTTTTGTGCTCGGGCTGTCATTAATTAAGGGCCTTAACCTGTAGCACCTGTTACAGCTGAGTATGCTTGATTTTCCCTTGATGCTAAGGATGAAACTGCCTGTTGAAAGAATTCACCCACAGAGTAACAAGTTTGCTATGGGTGTGGAGAACAAGAGTACAGGCAGCTCAAAACTTAATGACAGCCCTGCTTATATATTATGAATAATAATATTTAGTATTTAATATTTAACCAACAACCATATACACTTGTGCAACACAAGATCAGCTCCACAAATACATGTAACTGTTTTTGAAACATAGAACATTACAGAAAATGTTCCCTTTCATTTGGAAGAGCAGATATATAATGTAGAAAGGTTTGTTGTAGTCATTGGACCAAGTGGACGTACTCTCTGAATTGTGTGACTGAAGGTCCAAGTGAAGTAGTCTTTAGTATAAGAACTTGCTATTGATCTAGAAATTAAAGTCAGTATAAGAGGATAACTTTTGTGTACTTATGAGTTATTATAGCATATTTATGTACTTATATTATCTTGTACTCTCAGAGAGGTTTGGTAGTTATTTAGTAACAATCACCTTGTACACTAATAAAACACAAGATCAGGTCCACAAATGTCTTATAACTGCTTTTAAACTTTAAAAGAATACAGAAAATTGTCTCTTCAGCGTGGAAGAGCAATATTGTAGAATAGTTTGTAGTTAGTACACTGTAGTAATTGGAAATGACCGGACAAGTAAGTTGAATATTATTGAATATTGCAAGTTCAATTTCAGTTTTTCTCTGAATTATATGACTGAAGGTCCAAGTAATATAGCCAATATCAGGGTGAAATATTCTTTACCTGTAAAAACTTTTTTTGATCAAGAAATTAAAGTTAGTAGTGTTTGAATCAGAGTGGGGTTGGACTATGATGCATGTCCTTTATGAGATTACCATTGTGCATGGAGGAAGCTCTGAAAATGTCTGCAGTAAACAAATTTTAACAGTTTGGCAGGTGGGAGGGCCTTATGGTCAGCGTGTAGGACTGCAGATCAAACAGTTTGTGTTCAAGCCCTGGCTGGGGTCATTGTGTTTTGTTCTTGGGAAAGACATGCATGAACTTAACCCCCACAGTGCCCATCTCCACACAGGAGTAGAAATGGATACTGACAAATTGTTGGGTCAACCTGACAGAATGCTGGGAAGTAACCTTCCTAACTGCTTCATGCTACAGAAACTGGAGTTAAGTGCCAAGAGCTATGAACCAGATGCAATGAAACTAACAAGGCTTTGCTTCTTGCTTGTTAAACAAAACTGTGTGCTATGAAGCATTTAAGATGACCCCATGCCACATGAATATCTGGATCCTCCTGTTGGTGTCCAGCTGAGCCAGACAGCTAGGTTAATTGCAGACTGCAGTTCAGTGTCATACTTTTATACAACTTGTTCCCTTTTTCAGATCCAAAACTGCTGTCCTAACAGATGAACGAATCAAGGTGATGAATGAAATCATCTCAGGAATAAGAGTTATTAAAATGTACACGTGGGAAGAACCATTTGCTAAGTTGGTGGCTGATATTCGAAGGTTGGTGTAACATACTAGCAAAAGTATGGTTCGGTGACATAACAACACCAGTTGACGAGGCTTGCTCAACACAACAACTTTATTCTCTAAGCATCTTGGGTAATACAACAGCTTAACACAACTTCCGGTTACGAATATATTACAGTTGGTTCTCAAAGTTGCAAATTATAAAATAAACAACATGTTTCAACGTACACCTATCGGTTGGAATACATTTACTGTACTGTGGCCCAATGAAAATATGGAAAAGTATTTTGAGAATTTATTCATGATCAGTGAAAGAAACCATCATATTCGCAGGAGCCACAAAGGTTGGAAAACTTTCACCGAAATGTTTAGCAGCTGAAGTAAAATCAAACTGTTACCAGTTATTAAAATAACATCACTATGACTTACAATGCTGTTAGTAGTGATGAAGCATAATTTATTTGAAAGAACTAAAGTACATCTAAAACAGTTAAGAAGGACAATATCTTTGCGAGATAGTTATACATGCAATCGCCATTGATAGGCAACAATGTGTTCATTAACAGATTGATATAAAAATATTATGGATAGCTCATGTTTTTACAATAGCCCCTATGTGTGATGACATTAGCCTGGCTTAAATTGCCACCAAGCCTTGGTTTGAGAATGCAAATTTTAAATCTTATCACAAACTAATTCCCAAAGTAACAAAGATGAATAGAATACTCATGTGAAAACAACAGGAAGACAACAAAGGTTCGAGAAAATGTGGCGCAAACACAGCTTGGTGGTGAATTTTGAGCATGTTACGTAATCGCATAAGACCTACTTAACATCTTTCTTTTTTTCAGACAGGAAACTAAAATGGTGAAGTACGCTGCACTTTTCCGTGCAATTAATTCCGGATTCTATATGGCTGCCCAGCCTGTCATAGCTTTGGTAGTTTTTGTTGTGTATGTGATGACTGGACATACACTAACTGCAGAGAGAGTGTTTGTCGTTCTGGGTCTGTTCGTGGCAGTGAGAGTGAATTTCACCTTGTTTTTCTCAATGGGTATCATGTACCTTAAAGAATCATCCGTGTCAGAGAAGCGATTGCAGGTAACAAGATTAAACTGTCATAACTGCAATATTTGAAAAACGTATGTGTAAACAAATGATAACAAGTAAACATTTTGTGCGTAAATTGTCAAAATTTGTATAAGTTCAAGTCTAAAGCATTAGTTGAGGGAAATTCTGTGGTGGGAGAACTGTTTAATAGTAAGCTAATTTCACACCTTTCATTTAAAGGGTCCCTATCATGGCGGTATGCTGCATTTTTTGTCCATCAGTGCTAGCTAGCGCTACAAGTAAAACTGATTGCCTTCACCAATACACACAATCCTCCTAGAACACTAGGATGAAGAATCAAGATATTATTTGAATGTGTTGTTGAAGAAGAAACAAATTGCATTTGGTTTTTCAAGACCCAACTACAGAATTTGAAAACCTCTGCCTGACTAAGTAAAATTCATATCACAACCCTGCATAATTAGGTATCTCATTACACCTGACCCGCGTGGTTCAGAGGCATCTTAAATTTTTGAAAATTTAAGATAGCTCTGAACCCCAGGTACAGAATTTTTTAGACTTTGCCAAAAATGATAAGAAATAGTTATAAGCACTTTAAGCTAAAATTGAGCCGGTTTTTAGCAGGTAATACTGTTGCTATGGTAACTTATTGTGTCACAAAAAGGATAACAAGGTGTTCTTCAATGATTGGGCAGTTTTTGATACCACGATTGTGGCATCAACTGATAAAGAGTGGTTATATAGCCCATCAAAATCTTGGAAAGCACTGGAAACTGTTTCAAGCCACCTTAAGTAAGATGCATGTAACTGAGGCCAACTCTCCTGGATTATCCAGGAGTTCCCTAGATACAGTCTTAATCTCTCACTCTCCTGTATGCAGTCACCAATTCTCCCAGATATGAAGAAAACTGCTTAAAGTACATTTTGCACACTTATTTTGGCTGATTTTTGGCATTTTAAGGGGAAAATGTTGGACTAGGATAATTAGATGGTTTTAATCAAGTTTGATTCATCAAACACAGTTCTTGCCCAAATCTGAGTTTTTTCTTAGCATGTTCTGAAACTAAACCAAGAATTAAAATAACATTAAACCCCCTCTTTTTTTAATAAACTGTACTTTGTTGTCCAAAGACTTCTCATTATCAGCACTAATGTATATACGGTCGAACTTCTGGTTGTGACCACCTCTCCTCAGCGACCGGTTTTTCAAAATACCAAAAGTTTCCAAGTCAAATCACTATATTTGGAACCTCTTGTAAGTGTGAACACCTCTCATAAGCGACCGCTACCATTTTTTTTTTTTGTTTTTGTTTTTTTACTTTTGTTTTTAACCTCCTGTAAGCAACTACTTGAGAGATAATAGAGCAGAAACTGGATAGTAAGGCATTGTGACATTAACACATTCCTGATAAGTACAAGAGATGGAAATTTCTCAATGAGAAGTACCAGATTTTTCTCAAAATTGACTTTTTACATGAGTAAAACATTTAAAACATTGGGTAAGTCTCTGTAGTTACCATATGCTCTTGTAAGTAACCACCTCCCATAAGCAATCCCCTAGGCCTTGGTGGTCACTTACAGAAGGTTCAACTGTATTAACTTTTTCGGTTGTCTTTTTTTAAGAAATTCTTGGAACTGGAAGAAAGGGAGCCAAATGTGTCAGCTGCTATTGAAAATGGTATTGAAAGCAAAGGAGATGTTCCAGTGGTGAAGCTGAACAGAATTACAGCTTATTGGGATAAAGTAATATATTGTCTAGTCCTTTTGTCATTGTTTAAAGTCAGTAGAACAAATGCTCTTAGCTTATTGGCAAAAGCAATCTCTTCGTTGTCCAACCTTTTAAAATAGGATAGTCCTGATATTGTAAAAATTATAGAACTTTTCAAAACTGGAACACACAGTTATTTTACCTAATAGTATGTATTTTTCAGGAAATTCTAATTGCCTAAGTGAAAAAGTAAATGCAATAAGTATTATTAAATTTTATCATCTTACATACAAGGAATCAGCGCTTTGATTATTACTGTTGTGCAAGACATGTTTGTTCTGCTTTCTTTTTGTTTGTTTCTTTTGTTTAAGCTGTCAGTTTCATCCAATTTTGATCAAAAGTAATACTTCTTATGAGTTTGTGAGACACACNTCGACCAAAAAAGACAAAGACAATCTCAAAAAGCAGAAAAAATAGACTTGATATGTGTGTAAATATTCCAAGATGCTGCACGGTATCCGCTATAACGAGAGAGAAAACAATAAAATTGTGACGTTGGGACCGAATAAAGTGTCCGTAAGTCCGTAATAGCGGGAGTTTGTTTCAGTCAAACGTCTGTAACTTTCGCCGGGGATTTAGCTGTTGTCCGTAATAGCGGGGTGTCCGTAATAGCGAGGTGTCTGCAAGGCGAGAGTTGACTGTAGATATTGGTTTGTACTTAAACTGCACTTTGATCAACAACACAAGATAAATAAATGTAACTCAAGAACCGTAACGGCAGGGGTTCTGCTTAGTCAGCACAATTCTCTTGCCTAGTCCAAGTGAATATGATCATCTTTGCATTTTGATGAGAAAACAGACAACATAGTTCATTCTATTCCATGTCAATGTCTTGAACGTCACTTTTTCAATGAGAGCATTTGTAAAAGAAAATGACTCTTAGGGGGAAGTGCTGATTTGGAAGGGGACGCTTATTGGAAGAAAGACACTAAGGCTAATCATGACAGTAAACAACAAAACAGCACCAGGGATTTTTTTTTTTCAGGTGCATCCTTGGATTACTAAAGGATAAAGTCTGTGTGCTGGTGACTCACCAATTGCAGTACCTGAAGGATGGGACCTCGATATTGTGTCTGAAGGAGGTCAGTGCCAGTGTTCTCCCCCAACCCCTACCCAGAGCACATTGACCTCGCCCAGAACCCAAATAAGGAGTGCTCAATCTGGAGTCCAGCTCACAAACCAATGGGCCACCGGGCCTGCCGCCAGGCTTATAAATACAGAATTATTTCAACTTTTGGTTAAATATACATCTGTTTACAAAGGGTTCAATAAAGTCCCAGTTTCTGCAGTGCTAAGCGACTAGGAGTATCTGCCCAAGAACCCAAAGCAGTGACCCCAGCCAGGGCTTCAACCTAGAACGCTTGATCAGCAGTCCAGCGTGCTAACCATTCAGCCATCATACCTCCACTTTAACACATAAAGTCATTCAAATGGTACTAAATCAAAATGATATTTGACTAGGTCGTTCCTGGTTTTTCTCAAGTTACAGCCATCCTAATAATATAACCATGTCAATTGTATCACTGATATAGACCCTATTCATAAATGTCTGCCAGTGTAAAATTATTTTGCTTTCATTTAAATTAGCCCAACTAACCTCGTTTGAAGGTAAAAATTCGTTTGAGTTATCAACTCAAAAACGAGGTTAGTTCGGCTAATTTTAATACTTACAAAAGAATTTTTAATCGGCAGCCATTTATGAATAGGGTTTATTGGTTTGACGCATTTTTGACACTTGTCTTTGTCACAGGGTTGTTGCATTGGACAAGGCTCATTCTCAGAGTTAACCAGCACTGGTTTTGATGTTCAGTCTCTTGTGTCTTTACCTGAGTCTGATTCTGACAGTACCATTGAACCTGATGATATTCAAGTAGACGAGAAAGAAAAAGATATATCCGCAAAAATGACTGTTGTTAAATCTGTGGTAGGAATATGAAACTTGGTTAAATGAGTCTGGTTTTGCATAATTTTGTTGTTAACTTTTGGAACTATTTGGTGGTGGTTTTGTTCTGGTAGACCCCTAATAGAGCCTTTTTAGAAAGGATTGGAGGGGGCTTAATTTCAAAAGTAGCCGTGTCAGCCAGAACAGTGATGAGAATTTATGGTTTTGTGAAATGCTATACACATGTATGAAGAAAACCGAAAGGAGAAATTTTATGTTGATATCGGACCTTAAATAAGGTGCAAGGCAACGTAACTGCGCAATAACTCCTATTAAATATTTTCGCTCGCGCGCGATTGGTCTAAACGCGTCACATGACTGAATATTCTCCCAGTTTTCAAAACATGCACGTGTTGCGCAAAATATTTGACGGATAATAAACACAATAACCTCCATTGGCATGAAAATATTCTCGCATATTTGTCCTTGGCCAGTACATGTATCTATTCCTCAAAGCTCACAATTTTCCTCGAGCTACGCTCTCGGAAAACTGTTCGCTTATCGGAACAAATAATATCCGCGGACAAATATGCGAGCTTATTTTCGTACCAAATGGAGGCTATTGTTTATATAACTGTGTATTACTATTACCAGGAATTGTCTGAAAAAGATGAAAAGACTACTGAAAAAGAAGACCGCTACACTGGGACAGTAACTTGGAAAGTATATTTTGAGTTCTGGAAAGCAGGAGCTGGGATCTCTATGTTATTACTCTTGATAATACTTATCATCGGCACACAGGTAAATCAAGGTACTTGGTTGATATGGCAAAGCAATTACGTCCAGTTCAGGTGCACATCAATGAATTTCTCAAAACTGCCATAATAAATAACCCCTTGGATGTTAGTGGAGACCTTTTAATGATTGTTAAAGATTGGGTTGACTGGATTAAGTGATCAAATAACAGACCTCGTTTAGACAGCATCAGTCTATATTTCTGGTGTCAGTTCCCAAGACAAGAGCACAAGGGGAAAAATGACCAGGGAGTCTAACGAGGGCTGTGGTTTAAGGACGTTCGTGCTAATTGTTTCTGCGCATCCTTATTGCGCACGCAAATTCACACGCCACGTCATGCATGAGAGCGTACGCTCTAAATAATAAATGAACAATGATAGGGCAGATGACCATTGCTATAGCTTTGCCTGGATTTAACGATCTTGGATATTCGGTGACGCGTACTTTTCTTTCCAGAAACAGACTTAATTTACAATTATCTCCACATTGTCCAAAAATGAACAAAAAATCAATGTGGGAAGTTAAAAAAAATTCAAGATTTCTGTCCACGGGACATCGAATCCTGCCATCTTGCGGCTGCAAGGCGCGTGGAACTATGGTTGCTTAATGCGAACTTGTTCTTTAAGGACCCTCACCTGTTGATTAAATTCACTTAATAGGTCCACGTAAACAATATTTGGCAGAGAACATTTCACTGCAAAGATCTAATTGCAATATTTTTGGGCTTACAGACACTGTGGCCTTATTCGCTAATGAAGCCCGATCTTTTCAGATTTAGGGTGTTCTTCCGGGCATGTTCTCCCCAAAACGAAGTCGGTGA